AGATGTCAGTCTTTTTCCTTTCAGCTCATTATATTTTATTACACGTTAATCTGACCACGCCCACGGAAAGCGCGCGCTATTCAAACGCAAATCGTGAGGCAAGCCATGAAAACGCCCACATCAGCTGGATAAAACATCCAGTTTAATAAGAATTTTGTACTTTACCTCGTCTTGCTGCGCTGTGAGGAATAATACAATCGTAATAATCCTGGAAAAGTTACCTCAGAAGTGTTGGTAGTTTAATTTCGAGGAGCACGGATTCAGCTGATGAAGTAAGTCATTTATTCTTAAGTGCTTTGTTCTAATCGCGTTATTGAATAGTGTCTGTAAACTGCACAAAGACTGTTTAAATATGAATTGCGTGTCTGTGTGTAAATGAATGAATGGCACAGACGCGCGCGATGTTGTTTACTACAGATGTACATCGCATCTGTGCGTTCATTCACTCTCGCTCCTACATTAGTAAACATTATTTTTATGAACACATCCAAACTATATTGCTATAGCCTACTGAGATTTGTTCTAATCGTGATATAGAATAGTGTCTGTAATGACAACATTTCGTTGACTAGTTTTGGATAGATTATAAAGTTTTTACTATAAAATAGACCTCAAATAAGCTTTTGTTTGACAGTTTCTGCTCATATGTTAAATATATAGTATGTTTTGTCAAAAATAAACTAATCAACTGTTATAGTGTTTGTTCCAATGCATTCTATATCAAAATAATGAATCTTTAATTTTGAAATATGTATGATGAAATGTATTGGCCTACTTTAAAAAATAATACTTTATAAAGACAATGGAAAAAAGACAATTTTGTTTTTAAGATGTTTCCAACTCTAACTTTGAACCAATTCTGTAGGATGGCCCATATAACCTATTTGACCAGGATTTGTTTCCAGGTATGACTACAAATGTGCTTTTGACTTTCATTTATATTTTGATTTTATATATATATATATATATATATATATATATATATATATATATAGCAGTAGACTTTAATAATACAAACTAGGGAAAACTCAGAACAGGCAAGACACTCGAAAATACATTCATTCAATAACTGACCACGAACAAAAGAGCAGACAGGATTTAAATACACAGAGGTGATCAGGGAACAAGACACAGCTGGGGCAAATCAGAACAACGAGCAGAGCCATAACAATTAACAGGGAAACACACCTGAACCAAGGGACCTAATAATGAACATGACTGGAGATAACAGAATACAATGAACAAGGCAGAGAAACGAGGCACAAACTGAATGAAAAAACCAAAGCCAGTGAACCACAAACCAGAAACATGACAAAAATAACCAACACTGTAACATTATCCCCCCCTTCCATAAGGCGCGACCTCGCGCCGATTCAGAACACGACCTGGGCGGGAGGGTTGGGCGTCATGGAGTCCCAGACAGGGTAGTCGGGAACCATAGACTCCATGACGGTACCGGTGTGAGTGGCCATGGCGGAACAGGACGGTACCGGAGTAAGTGGCGGAGCAGGACGTGCCGGTGGCCACGGCGGAGCGGGATGTGTAGGTGGCCACGGCGGCGCGGAACGTGGCGGTGGCCACGGCGGAGCAGGATGAGGCGAAGGCCAGGGCGGAGCAGGACGTGACGGCGGCCAGGGCGGGGCACGCTTGGCAGGAGACGAGGGCATAGGAGGCTCAGGAGGAGATAGCACCGACAAGGTCCATGTCAGCGCTGCCTCCATGACCCTCTCATGGGACCTCCTACTGCCCCCCCCCCCCCCCCCCCCCAAAATACTTGGGAGGACCTAGGGGAACAACCTCTGGGCAGGCAACGGGCTCTGGGACAGTCTCATGGAACTTGAGAGACATTGGCAGGGCGAAGAGCAGATACGGGGCCGGCAGGGCGAGGCGCACAGGCGGGGCCGGCAGGGCGAGGCGCAGAGGCGGGGCCGGCAGGGCGAGGCGCAGAGGCGGGGCCGGCAGGGCGAGGCTCAGAGGCGGGGCCGGCAGGGCGAGGAGTCTGGGAACGCCCTTCGGAGCCTGGCGAGGCAAACGAGACTTCCTTCTCCTCCTGCGACGACGCGTCACTGGGCTTGACTCACTTGACTCGGTAGACTTGGTAGACTCACTTGACTCGGTAGACTCGGTAGACTCACTTGACTCGGTAGACTCGGTAGACTCACTTGACTCACTTGACTCGGCGGCACTTGACTCACTTGACTCGGCGGCACTTGACTCACTTGACTCGGCGGCACTTGACTCACTCGATTCACTTGACTCACTTGATTCACTTGACTCGGCTCTTGACTCACTTGACTTGGCGGCACTTGACTCACTTGACTCGGCGGCACTTGACTCGACATTTGACTCACTTGATTCACTTGACTCGGCGGCAATTGACTCGCTTGACTCGGGAAGCGCGGTCTCACTTGACTCGCCGGCACTTGACTCACTTGACTCGGGTTCGTCGAGGCTGAAGCGACGTGCGGGTTCGGAAGACAGAAGCTCAGCCTCAGGCATGTCGATCTCGGCAGGAAGAAGCTCAGGCATGTCGGTCTCGGCAGGAAGAAGCTCAGGCATGTCGTGGAAAGCGGGCTCGACTCGGTTCACGTGAAGCGCAGGCTTGTGGAGCGTGGTCTCGGCTGAGCAGCTGAAGTGAAGCGCGGGCGCGACCGGGCTGACGTTAAACGCAGGCTCTCGCAGCTTCTCCTCCACGCCCACAGTAAACGGGGAACCGCTCCACAACAGGGCCAGGTCAACGTACCATTCTAAAGATCCGTAAGGACCAGGTTCGGGCATCAGAGACCGGAGTGGTTCCGATAATCCTCCGCGGAAGAAGATCTTCAGGCCGTGGGTGTTCATTTGCGCGAGATATGCCAGCTCGAGGAATTCTGCGACATAATCCTCGATGGCGCGATTCCCCTGGCGAAGACGGAGGATCTGGACATCAGGACTCCAGGTAGGCATGGCTGCTAGATCCTAGTGGGTCAGTTATTCTGTTACGATTTGCGTGGAAGCAAAGGCAGTAGGCGGATCTAAATGCAGCAGTAGACTTTAATAATACAAACTAGGGAAAACTCAGAACAGGCAAGACACTCGAAAATACATTCATTCAATAACTGACCACGAACAAAAGAGCAGACAGGATTTAAATACACAGAGGTGATCAGGGAACAAGACACAGCTGGGGCAAATCAGAACAACGAGCAGAGCCATAACAATTAACAGGGAAACACACCTGAACCAAGGGACCTAATAATGAACATGACTGGAGATAACAGAATACAATGAACAAGGCAGAGAAACGAGGTACAAACTGAATGAAAAAACCAAAGCCAGTGAACCACAAACCAGAAACATGACAAAAATAACCAACACTGTAACACACATATATATATATATATATATATATATATATATATATATATATATATAAAATCAAAATATAAATGAAAGTCAAAAGCACACATATATATATATATATATATATATATATATATATTTATAAATAGTCCTTGCATTCTTTCTTGTGTGACACACCTGAATGAAAGGCTCATTATCCGGGTCTTTGTCTTCTCAGGTGAGAATCACCTAATTATTCATGAGGGGGTTTGGCCATTCACGCCCCCACGCATATTGCCTTTCCAAACAAAAAAATGTTTTTCACAATTTAAAGACAGATATTTAGTATTTGAACTTATTTCAGAAACTTAAATTTTTTGTTTTTTCAATAACCATGCATAAAAAATATTCTCTCAAAAATACAAACATGTACATACATGTTGTCACATATTATGGTAGTCCTGTTTGTGCTAAATAGATAAATTTCACCTGTGCCATAAATATGTTTATAAGCAACTGAAAAAAGCACAAATGTCAGGGCATGTAAAATGAACTTCTAGCGTGAAGAAAGAGATTCTGACGTAATTGTCGCGCCCATGCATTTTATACTGCCCGCGAACCTGTCAGTATTTGCATGCTTCGCGTCAATTGGCCAGCTGTCCCCAGCTGGCGTTAGCCCATAAGATTTCAGCGAAAGTGGAGAAGGGAGGAGTTCCCATATACGTCACGCTGACGCAATGTTGAAGTTACCGCCTCGAAAGGGAACGAGCCTCGCTTTCATTTGACCCAGATTTCAACAGTGACGTCCATTTTTTAACGGAGTACGGAGCCCCTTAAGGGACGTGGGGGTGGAAAAAAATTGTCATGGGACAATTTATTATTTCCAAATCTTTTGCGTTCCCAACGTCCCAGTTCCTTGGTTAAAAGCGCAATTTTCTCATGATTTACAAATAGTTGGAAACATTTGGGATATTGTAAGTAATCAACTAAACAAAATATATACCATTGGCCTAGTGGTTTTTGAATATTTTACTGCAAAATTCTTACAGTGCACCTTTAACTGTCTAAATAGGCCCATTTAAAAATATGCTGTAAATATTATATGTAGCCTAGTTGTGGCCTATATTCTGAAAAGGCCAAAGTAGCCGTGCCATGCCAAGCCGAATCGTACCATGCAGTGGAAAAGTGCACATTGAGTACCTTTTTTTAGGCAAATATAAATTTTACCTTTCTACTATTTCGTGATTAATAAAAGTGTATACATCATGGTCTAACTAGTGTATTGGAACATTTTCTGTATGCTCAGGTTTGGTCTATATATGAAGAGTTCAGATGCAAAAGCCTCTAAAAGCCATCTGAAATTTTCTTCTAAAATGATAATTTTTATCAAGCTCGTATATTTAAGTTCAATAATTTCACTTGAATGGCAAGAAAAATTACCCATTAATTGTCATTTAAGTGAAATGACTGAATTTAAATATACGAGCTTGCTAAAAATGATCATTTTAGAAGAAAATTTCAGATGGCATTTAGAGGCTTTTGCATCTGAACTCTTCATATATATATCTGGTTCTTGCCACTGAGTAATGTCATCTTCAAACTGCATACTTTTATTTCAGTTTTATCAGGTACAGTAGGTACACTTCCTAATTTACAGTGGTTACTCTTACTTTGTACAGATTGAAAAAAGTTACAGAAATATAAATGCCTACAACAACGGTTCAGTCAGAGTTACTGGCTTCAGGTAATGTCTATTATCTAAACTTTCACTCAAAAGGTCCATTTTGGTTATTATGTCTTGTGATAAAACAGTGTCTTCTCATTGTTCACAGGCCTGGTAGCATTATAGCAGACTATGAAATTAGTGCAACAACCAACAACCCCAGCAACTCTGAATTTGCAACAGCAAACAGTCAGGTTATCAAAAATCTCGAAGGTATCTTGTTGGTAGATGGTTTTTCTGAAAGTGGTAAGGGTAGTCAGTATCTAATCTTAAAAAAATGTTTTTATTTTTTTTATAAGCATGACTATTGCTTGTTGAAATGTTGAAAGTACCAACAAGCCTATAATATAAATGAGAAAGATAAAATATTGTTTTTAAAATTTTACTTGCAGTACAAATGAACCTGTCTACTGCGGGAGAATGGTATCCTCAGCAAAATATGCTGCTGAAATGTATACGCCCAGCGTCTGTTGAGGGTACAATGAAATGGACAGTCAATAACAACGATCCTGCACTAGACCCCAGTAAATATCTAATTTCAGATGATCATAGCTCTCTCACTGTGAAAAACGTTGATGAGAAAGACAAAGGTGAGTCACACATATCTTTGTATTACTGTATCAATGATATCTTACATGTTGACTGTTCCTCGGTCAGGATTAAAGCTATGTGGCAATTGTGCTTTTGTGATATCTGACCCAAAGATAACAGTCTACCTTTAGACAATATCTGGCTTATGATCAATGCAAATGAAAATGTTTCTTTCTTCCATGGAGCACAAAATAAGAAATGTTGGCCACTCTTTTCCATGCAGTGATGGAGTGAAAGTGACTAGGGATCTGGGCTATCAGTCTACAAAATGAAAAGAGAAAAAAAGACACAAAAATACCATAGACTCTTCAGTCCTGTTAATGTCACATTGTGGTGGCAAAAATTAATATTTGACCAATATATCTGCCGTTATTTGGCATTTTTTATATTTTCAGCATCAGCCATTGAGGTTTTTGGTTTGTTTGGTTGTTGTTGTTTTTGCAGTTTTCCCTTAACGGATAGGGCAGTTGAGGAAAGACAGGGAGCAATTAGGGGGAGGAGAGAGTGGCACAGAATGGGAAAAGGACCACATGCTGGGACTCGAACTTGGGTTGTCCACAGCACTGTTGCGCTATATGTCACAGCATTGCCCACTTCGACAGAGTTTCTCTTGTTTGATACGTTTTTGAAGCTGGACTTTTATATTTTGATGTAGAAGCTTACCAAATCACAGATAAACACTCATAATGCTTAAGTCTATCCCACGTTTGTATGTTGGGATGCAATATCTTAATTGGCTGCTATGTAATATTAGGTTACCGTGATTTTGCCAAGGAAGGCTTTTGTTGATCCTTGAACAACATTCCTGTCTGAGAATTTAGTCCTAACTCTATACCTACCCTATAGCCTGGTTAAAACCAGGCCATTCTCAGTTGTAACTGAGTTAGGCCGGGGACACACTGGCTGCGTGGCGTGAGCGTGGCGTTTCTGTTGCGTGTCAGCTGCGTGGCGGCAGCGTCGCGTTTTCTGTGTCTTTGCACACCAGAAACGTGTCTGACGTGGCGCTGCTGCTGATAGGAGACATAGAGGGACAGTCTACATTTGGATTAGCGGTGTGTTGCTCTTGCCTTTACGACAACAATTTCAACTGTTATCTTCCAAAATCCGAAAAATAGGGAAGTGGGGTGTCTGTTTATTTCAATAACATTTATAAATTTTGTGTAGCTTTAAAGAGCCTATATTTAGCCGGATGGTGGGCCGTTGATCAGAAGACACACTATGTTGTTATTGTAGCCTATCCTATCTTTATATCCTTGAGGCCCAGAAGGTTTTTTTTTTTTTCAAAAGTATTTTTTCTTCTTCATGTAATCACATTGTTAAGATAATTATTATTATTTGTTTAAATTACATTGATATCTGAATTTATGTCAAAACCTAGACTTTCAAACATCAAAATGTAATTTATTAATATGTATTCGTGTACAAAATGACATATAAACATCGTTTCCTATTCTATTTTGCCTGGAAACGCTTCCAACACGCTTGCGTGTCACGTGAAAAATAGGCGTCGGTTCTATTTCTAGCATGCACGCGTTTTCCATGCGGCTCATGCCACGCAGGCAGTGTGCAAGCTCTAACCTGTTAACATGGGAGCCAAAATAAAAACAGACACGCCACGCAGCTGAGGCGCTTACGCCACGCAGCCAGTGTGTCTCGGGCCGGTCTGGCAAAGCTTCATAGACAAATCATTTCCAAAGGGGCGTCACCAACGGACGTAGCTCAAATGCCTCTGGGCTCTGGGCACAATTGGATAGACCTAAAACCAATCAGAGCGCTGAAGGAGATGACATATGCTGAGCGACGTTCGTTTGTTATAGAACAACTTTTGTTTGAATAAACGAGCAGACACTGATTAGCTACTTGCTCTATGTTTATTTAAAATTAACAGCAAGACCACTAGAAGTGAATGTGCTTTCCATTAAATAAATCACACACAGTAAACAAAACCTTAACAAAAAAAAACTTTGCAATGAACTTTGCAATTTAGACACCCAAACTGCGTGCCGGTGCGGTGAGACGTAGTAGCCTACCCTACATGCTCGAGCAGATTCGGCTTGAAGTTGTTCATCCTTGGACGCGACGCCGCGCGCGCTGTTACAAAAAAAGCCGTGCACACAGCCAAGCGAAATGGGGTCAGTCTTGCGCACCGAACGCGTCATTTTTGCCGCGCGCACCTTCTTGCTTGTGCGGAGGCGTCGAGTATAAACAAGGCTTTTTACTCCGTGCAGGCTCTGATCGGTAAAGGGGCACAGACCTCTCTCGAATCATCTCCAGCAGTAGCATCCTCCGAAGAACCACTAACTCCGCCTCCGTTTCCCTCGTAAGCTGATATTAGTATTTAAACATTCTCTATGATAAAAAATGTTTGTGAAAAAATTTTTTTAATAACATGGTTTTGGCGGTTATAGAGTTCTAATGACGTGTTCAACTATAACCGTCACACCCCTAGTTCCACGCATTGGGTTCCACTGCGGCATCCATCTTTGTAAATGTACAAAATCTGCTTCACCGTCGCTGTGCTGTCGTCATTGTGTAAAGCCCGCCCCACCGTTTCTGATTAATGGTGCGATTTCGACGGATTAGAAATGGGCTTGCATGAGCTCTTTGCCAGACTAAGGGTGCTTCTCAATATCCCTCCTCGTCTCCTCGCTCCTCCGTCCTCCATCCTATGACCCGGAAACCAATCGAGCTCAGCCATCTTGAAGGACATCTCAATTCTCTAATTGCACCGCGAGGAGGCGAGGATCGAGGAGTGAGGAGGCTTCCAGAGGAGCTATGAGCGAGGATACACAGGTGTACCCTTTGCGGAAGAGTTTTATCGACTAAACATGACGCACGTATCAATTCTCCTCCCCCTTCACATCTGTCACAATCATTTGAATTTATACTTTACTTTTGTAGTTTACATAAACCACACAACTCACATATTTCAACAAGGTATCTTGCTTTATTATTATTTCTAATGAATTTCTTAAATAAACAAACTTTAACAACATAAAGGCAGATCCTTTGAGCACTGCTGATGACGCAGTGGAGTGACGCTCGAGTGATCAAGTATTCCAATGTATAAAAAAGCTTTCATTCAATTCCTCCGTCCTCGTTTTTTTTTCCTTGCAGCCTTCCCTCGCGTCCTACAGGGGGTGGAGCTGAGACGCGAGGAAAGGAAGCGAGGATGCACAAATAAGAAATGAGAAGCACCCTATCTTTCAGAGCAAATCTAAATTTGCCAGAAGTTGTCTGGGTTTTCTCAGGCTATCCCTACCCCTAAACCTAGCCCTACCCATAACGTATCCCTAAAATCAGAGGGAAATGATAAGTGGAAGAAGCACCTAACCTTGATTTTAAGCCTAAACTTGACATAAACTTTAAACTTGTCCCTAAAATCTGATTGGTTGATGATTTCACCAAGTCCAACTTGTTCCTGGATCAACATTGATCCAGGAACAAGTTGGACTTGGTGAAATCATGTTCACCATCATATTAATGGAATACTCACTTTGTACTTTATGTATAATTAGCATTACTTCATCTTTGTTTGATAAAATGCTATTCTAAAGGTGATGATACACAGGGCAACATTTTGAGCAATGTTGCTGGGCAATGTTGTGCGTCAACGGGCAACCAGATGAGACACAGGGTCCACGACCGATCTAAATTATCCAGATAGAAATGTATTGCCCATTTTCAATGGGAAAGTGCAAGCAACAATCGCTCGGCAAGATTGCCCAGCAACATTGCTCAAAATGTTGCCCTGTGTATCATCACCTTTAGTGTGCATAGACTTACCAGATTACTGTTGTGTTGTGTTGTTAGTTTTTTTTTATTTATTTTTTTTTTATATTTAATTATTTGTTTAAAATATTTTATAGCCATCTAAAATATAAATCTTTGTTCACTAGAGTGAACATCACAGGGTGTTTGATTCCTGGAGGATAATAAAACAATCTAAGAGTATAATTGCATTTGGGCCACCACATCTCTCACATGTTGCCAGTGAATCATTTGTTACGCCACTGTTTTGGCCGATGCTCACTCACACCCTATGGAGTGTGTGCTTGAGTGCAAAGCACGAGCAGCAGGTCATTTTGCTTATTTGGTCAACCACTAGCAAAGAGACCTGCAACTTACCACAAATAATATCATTTAAATCAGTGCCGTCAAAGTTGCAGTACTGATACACAGCAGAAACACCATCAGTGTGAAAGAACAATACAAGCCTGCTGCTGTAGTAAAGCTGCAGCTTTGTGTTTGCAGGAGTGCAAGACTCAGCTCCTGAAGGCCTGCAGCTCTGCAGAGTTTATCTTCAACCTTAATAAAATACATCTGATCCAGCTAATTAAGTCCTTCAGGCTAATTTGAAAAATACAGGTATTTGTGTTAGAGCAGGGTTGTAACTAAACTCTGTAGGACTGTGGCCCTTCAGGAGCTGAGTTTTGTACTCCTGCAAACACAAAGCTTCAGCTTTACTACAACAGCAGGCTTGTATTATTCTTTCACACTGATGGTGTTTCTGCTGTGTATCAGAGCTGCAACTTCAGTGTTAAAGTAATAGTTATTTCTATGTATCTACATTTAGTATTTCGGTAACACTTTATTTTAAGGGTCCAGAATAATGCATTATTTAAGCAATAATTAATGATTAACTTGTTCAAAATTAAGCATTAGTTAAGCACGAACACACTAGTAATTAATGATTAACTTTACATTTTAAGGGTCCTGAATTGTGCTGTTGCAGCAAAAACAATAATTAACAAAGCAAGCATCACAGTAAGAGACATCAGATTCCAATTGTACTTTAAAAGAAAGTTTATTCATTTAAAGGAGGTTGTTCACAAAAAACATACCACGACAGCTACCTCGTGGCAGGAACAAGACCTGAAATCACACAGCAAGCATACCAGCCTTTATACCTTCAGAGTTCCTTCTCCTGTAAATTTCCGTGATGGTCTCTCTGACCCCCCATTCTCTCTGGGCTTTACACCTGTGAGGTCGAAAGCTG